AAGTCCTTCTCGCCTTAGTGTTGGGGAGCAGCCAGATGTCACCCATGACCCTTACGAATTCCTTCAGTCTCCAGAACCTGCAGTTTCTGCCAAGAACTAACTTGTGGGTTTTCCAGATATTTTATTTTTTTTCCTAAGTTTTATTTGATACACAGTTCTTGTCACAAGACAGAAACTTTTGTCTCATCGTCTCTGGCATGTAGCAGCCTGAGGAAGATGGTGGCTTGTCTGTACTGTCATGTCTGCAGCACAGGCCCAGCAGCGCCATGTCCCATAAGTTCTGAGCAGTGACAACAGAACACAGTGGGGTTACAACCAGATGGCTCAACTCTGTGGACTCTTCTGAGCACCAGAAACCAAGCTTGCTTATGATAATGTCATTCTGCATGAGTTCTGCACAGCCTCCCTGCAGTTCTTGAAGGGGAGCCTGCAGAACAGGCCTTCAGAGGGTGCTTCTGTTTTCTGTGTGGTCACTGAGCCTGAGGAGAGAGTTGTCTCCCTGACAAATAATGAACCAGCCCGCCTTTTAGAATGAAGTATTCACAGCTATAAAATGTTTCAAAACTGGATGTATTTGCTGAGTACCTGTTTGTATTTGCAAAATACGTGAACATGGGTCCTAATAAAGAGATGCCTAAGGTGTGACTCTGTATGATCATCCCTTCTGCTGTGATGTTGGGGACACTGGTGTATCCTGTAGACCAGCTGTGCACCCTGCTCCTTTTCTGGAATAAAAAAAGCAAAGAAGACCCGACCTTCACAGGCCAGCTACAGATGGAAGTTCAGTTTTGAGGGGAGAAGGGCCATGGCTAGAGAGGTGTAGTAGGTGGCATACTTGGCACAGGCAAGCAGTGCTAGAAGCAACAGTGATATATGGACATCCTTGAGATTTGCCACAATTATTGGCAAAGGCCAGAACATCCCACAGCTAGATAAAGCATTAGTAAGGGATTGCAGCTAAGTCTGGTCTGAGCCAGGAGAAGCCCTCGGGAAAGGACTGCCTGTTTCCTGGGACCAGAATGTCTTGGCTTTAAAACTGCTGCCTCCATGTTGGTGCTAACTTAGCTCTGGGCCAGTGCCCCCACGGGAAGGGAGAGTGGAAAAGCTGATTCTGGGTCTGCAGCATCATGGATGAATTGTGCTGCACAAGTCTTGAGGCTCTCGAGCATAGGCAGTCCGGCAGCATATCTGAGTGGCAACCTTGGAGGAACACAGAGCTTTTCTTGGGGCCTCTTTCTCCCTGGTACTCTACCTTAGGCCCTCTACACATAGCCAAGGTAGCCTCTGTGATGAGCTAGAATGGGAGCCTGGGCTAGCAAATGGCATTTGGACTGTACTCTGGAGGTCCGTGTTCTGTGGTCCCCACAGTAGGAGGACTGTATGTGAGCCTCGGGAGATACTGTTGCTTCTTGGGCCTCAACCTGAGCTACAGGTAGAGCCATGGGTACATGAGCTGTTTTAGACAGTTGGGCATCCAGGCACCTTTTCAGAGGAACGGAGGAAAAACTTAAGTGCCTTCACTGTTGAAAGACCTTTTCTCTTTAATTTGATGAAATTAACTCCATAAGCCACTTACCACTTAAATTATATAGTTGATTTGATACCTTTCTAGTATTATGAAGCCACTTACACACACACACACCCATTAAGTTTCAGAACATTTCATCACTCTGTAAAGAAACTCCATGCTCACTGAAGTCACTAGCTAATTCTCTGGACTTAATAATTCTGGGTATTTTACATTAGGATATTGTGTTTGCCTTTCACTGTTACATCTTGGAGTTCAGACTTACTTAGGTGACCTCCCCTCACCTGGCACTGCAGCTTGGCCACTGTTCAGTATGGGTACTGAGGAGGCTGTGGAAGCCAGACATTTCCTAGGCAAGCCAGAAACTCCTATCAGCTGATTAGATAGTATACAGGGTAAATCTTGAACCTCACTGGCTGGATGTCACCCATGGGCTTGTCCACTACCTGCTTCTCAATCCTGGAAACTACCATTGTCCCAGGAAAGGAAGAGGTGCGGTGAAGATGTAAGATATCTTTTAGACTGGAATGTGTATAGCACAAGTCAAATGAGAGGTGTTCAGGTGAAGGTAGGTAGAGGCATGTGTGTGTGCAGGTGAGGTAAGTATTGGAATGCTTCCAGGTGGAGATTACACAGGGGAAGGTATGTAACACTGTTCATGTGCAGATGAGGGTGTGTGAATGTGGAGTGTATGTACAGGTGTGGGAGTGTATGTACAGGTGTGGGAGTGTATGTACAGGTGTGGGAGTGTGCAGGTGAGAGGCGTGCAAGAAGTCTACAAACGGGCCGTTCTGTGTATGTACACAGGGTGGTTGTCTCCAAACCTTTGGAAGGAAAGGAGTAAAGAACATTGGCACAACCATTCACTCTAACAGGGACAGTCACTGCAGACCTTAGTGAATACTGGCCAGACATTGGCGTTCAGCAGGAGGCAGCACTTTTCATTGAGAATGAGGACGTTTTACCAAGACTACTCCAGTCCAGCCCTGCAGAGAGGTCATGAATATGTGGAGGGATCCCAAGAACCACACAGTGATGACATGAGGGGAAATGCATTCTGAGGGGCTTCCTGTCACCCTTGAGAGCCCAGCAACACATGAAGGAACTAGCTCACCGCTCATTCCTCCAGCCCCAGCCTGTCCAGAGCAGAGTTGCAGTTGGTGGCACACCGTAACAGGCTGGCCTTCCCTCCCTGCATACTCTGCCATGTTCTCACCCTCTCCCACACACTGTCTACAGTATGTTCCAGTTTCTTAATCACCTGCTCGCCATACACTCTCCACAGTGATTTCAGGTTAGACTCCAGCCCCTGGGCTGTGTGGGCACCCAGCAGAGCAGCCATTGCAACATACTGCCTGCAGGTGGCTTTCTAGGGGTGATGCATGCCACCATAGGGGCTGCGAATGGAAAGGAATGTATCCTGTCCCTCTGTTCCAGGGATTAATCAGCAGTCAGCCCACACTGGGAGCATCCAGATATCTTGGGAGCCCACACATAGGAACTAAACATTTAAGCTAAAATTTAAGACACTGACTAGTACCGTGTTTGGAAGTTCTCAGGAGAGCATGGGGCTTCATCAACTCTCCGCTCAGCATCCATAGTGTAGGAAGCATCCCTGGGCCACACAGCCCATGGCACCAGACAAGAACAGTCTGCAAGGCAATAGTGGTCAGGCTTAGAGCTTTGTGTTTCTCTATGAAGCATGTGCACCTCAGCTTCTGAAGGAAAAACAAAACAAAACAAAAACACATGAGGATCAAGTGTAAAGAAGTTGGATTGGCTATTCCTGTCAGACCCACACACAAGCTGATGGCCTTCATTAAGAGATTACAATAGTTTCCCAGTCAAAACTCATGTAAAAATTCAGGTATGGGTGGTGAAGCTGGGCTCTGCCCTCAGAGTCCCACCTGTGGGACCCAGCTAGCCCCCCACCCCCACCTCCCATCTATGCTTCCCATTGTTTCCCATCTCTGTTCTGTTCCCTGGGCACCAGCAGGTAATCTTGGTTGAAGGGCCTGTGGCTTTATGAGCTGTGGAACCTTCCTTTGTGAGGTGTTCTAGATCTGCTTTGTACATGAGAATGTTCCACTACTGTTTTAACATGTCAGCACTGAGCAAGAGGTGTCTGACCTGTGTTGCTCAACCTGATGAGAAAGGTAAGAAGGCGGATTAGACATTGGCCAATGGCAGTAGGGTTTTGTCTCATAACTCCCTGGGCCAAAGCCTCACATGTGGAGACTCAGCCCACTGGAGACCCCAGCTATCATGTGACCTCTCTAGGCTCTTGGGGCTAGCAGTATTTCTGCTTATGAACATCTCCATGGGGACATACAATGAGAGGGCCAAGACTGGGAAGGCTCCTCCTGAGAAATGGAGGCACTGATTGGAAATCATGAGCAGGGTGGATAACAGCAGGGTTGGACAGTTCAAAGAGAATCATGGGAGGCCCCTAAATCCAGATATAAGGACAGAATTCATGACTGTAATATGCAGAAAGTTCTGGGAATGTTAGCTATAGCTATGTTAGTACTGATGGCAGAATCCCACACTGAAACCTACAAGCAAAAGACCTGAGCCAGAAGAGTCACAGATGCCAGAAGCTTCCAGCACCACTGATTCTTGAATTTAAAGTCACATCTCACAGCTTTCCAGAATCATAGGCATCCTTAGTCCTGACATTTTGAAAGTATCAATTTCACTATTATGAGCTGAGTGAATGAGGGGCTCCAGTTCAGATGGTGGGTGTAACTTGGAGGGAGGCAACCCCGGATATTGGCAAGTAAGATGCCAGGCAGAGAAGACAACGTGGGCATGCGAGGTAGCAAGAGGAGGAGTCCAGGGTCCTAAGAATTGTGTGGTGCTCACGCATCAAGTGGTGAGTGGTATTCTGTGTGTATTGTGGACTGTATATTCTATGCGTGGTGTGCATGGTGCAAGAGTGTTCCTATACAGCTACTATCAAAGGTGAACTTTGGGGCTGGTAGGAAGATGAAGGCTCATCTTGTTGGCTCACTGCTAGGTCCCTTTTCCTGTGAAATCAGGGCACTGTGCTCTTCTCTTTGTCCCAGGCTCCCTCTCTAAGTGCTCTCCCTTCACAGCAGCACCTTTCTAGAAGGAAGTGTACCAGGTGGTAGGGCCCTAGGGAAATGAATGCATTTGGGTTCTTACATAGAAAGACCTCAGTATTCTCTTTACGTCGTGTCTGATATTTGTCACTTGAGCGTTCGGGACAGAATTGTGTCCAGGAGGGATGTGGCAGTCCAGTAGAGCTAGCCCAACCAGCGGTCTATTCACGGGAAACTGGAATCACAGAGATGGGGTAGACATACTCAGCCTTGTGCCCACTATCTTGGGGGCTGCAAACCTACCTGTCATGATAGGGATCTCCTGCCAACCCTAGTCAGCCAAACCAACCTGCCATATAGATAATCAGCTTTTGGCCCAGGTCCTGGTGACTCTCTGACAATGGAAAATGGTATTGCAGGCCACTCATTCTATGCCCAGAGACAGACAGCTTTGTGCCCTTTTTATCTCTCAGATGAACATCTGTGGCATGAAACAGAACCGGGTCCTCCCAGAAGCCCAGGCCAACAATGTGAAGAAGATCCTACCACGCCCTCTGTCTAGGGTGAATGGCTGGTCACCACCCCTCCATTCATTCCAGGCAATATCCTGGACCACCTACCTGGCCATGTCCATTGTCACCTTTGGGATCTTCATCCCCTTTCTACCAACTAGCTGGAAATGTGCTGCCTATGCTGTATCCTTTGTGCTAGTGGAGTGGGCCCCTGGGCTGTCTATCTCTTGGAGGTGGAGGGGCTTCTGAAGGTCTTCAAGAGAATTGCCCCTGAACCCCATCATGCCTATGCAATGGGCTCTATCCCTGCCTAGACTACTTGTTCCTGTGGCTCTGAAGTCAGCCCTATGACCCCACATTGCCCGACAGAAGGGGCTCTTGCTACTGTGAATGTAGAATCTACTAGATACATGGTGACAGTAGGGATCCTGGAAGTGGTGACCCAAGGAAAGGGAATCCAGTCACATCTTCTTACAGTGTGCAGAGAGGCCCTTCTCGATTGCTCTAGCAGAGTAGCTAGATAAATAAGGGAGGACCTCAGAAGCCACAGACCTACAACCTTACTAATGTGCTTGTATAGTCCTAGAGAGCCCAGTCCTAAGGCATGGAAAGTGTATACAGGATCTCTGCTCCTGGACAGGCCTTTAAAGATGGTTCTCCAGGCAAATGGGAAGACCTATAGTGTTACTCCTTTGCTTGTGGAATGGTGTATATATCAGGGTGGGCGTCCGAGATCTACCATCACACTTCGCATCTGATCAGGGAAACCAGGCCCTTAGGGATGGGTCCACATTAGAGCTGGTGCCAAGTTGGTGCAAGGTGGGCCTATGTACGCACAAACTATAGATGAGCCCTAGGTGGCCTTTATCTTAGTGAGGACATACTCTGGCTGTAGGCGCTATAAGGCACTTTGCTTTGGCCAATATTCTGCAGGTCCTAGGAGTCAGGAGAGCCAGGCATATGTGCGGTGGTTAGGATGGAGGCACAGGGCAAGACACAGGATTGAGTGACTGTTACAGGAGGCAGGGAAGATACTGTCACATCTTGGGGGTCTGCTTTGCTGAGATGGGATACAGTAATCTCACAGTCACACCTTTCAGCAGTCAGGGCTGGCCAGTCTTTATTTTTCATATGCACATTTAAGGGAGCATCTTTAAAAACCTCAGATGTTCAAAACTATCACGTGTAAATGCTGTGGTTTAATATCAGAGCCTGGTTTTTATGCATATAACCACTATGCTATTATCTTTTGGAAAAACACACAGCTCTATTGCTCATTTCCTAATGTCCCATTGCCAGTACCCCTATTTTCTTTATTATTTTCCAGTGAGTACTAGGGATTGAACCCAGGGCACTTACTGTACCATAGCTTGTAGTTGCAGCACCCTGAAGCTTCCCACAGTGTGGCAACTCTAGGCCTTTGGTTGAAGAAACTGGAGGAGAATATCTCCAAGCTCTGCTGTGGCAGGTTCTTTTCTTCTCAGTGGTAGACTTCTTTGTGGGAAGGCTTTTGAGAATGAATTCAATGTAACAGGTAAAAAGTTATTCAGGTTTTCTGTTTCATCTTATGTTCATTTTAGTAAGTTATATTTTTCATGAAATTTGAGTATTTCTTCTAAAATGTCAAATTTCTTGGAAAAAGTTATTCACAATATTTCCTATGCTTTCATTTCATCTCTAAAGGATACAAACATTTTTTGGATGGGATTTTCTGTGTAGCCCAGTCTGGCTATGAACTGTGACCCTCCGGGCTCAGCCTCTCAGGGTTAGAAGTAGATGTGTACTACGCCACCACATCCGGGTTCAGGACAGATAGTAACATGTCTTCTCTGGCTGCTTCGCTGCATTGCCTGCTTGTGGGTGGGCCTTCCTTCCTTCCTTCCTTCCTTCCTTCCTTCCTTCCTTCCTTCCTTCCTTCCTTCCTTCCTCTCCCCCTCTCTCCCTCCCCTTCCTCACCCTACATCCCCCTTCTATTTTCCTGAAATTGGATCAGGTAAATAGAGGACCTGGTGAATAAAGGCCTGGGCTCACTTGGACCCCCAGGCCCCCTGCTGCAGCCTCTTAGGTGCTTGGATCGCAGCTATGCATCGCTGCCCTGGCTTTCTTGTAGAGAACCACCTTTGTATTTATTACTTTTCGCTACTGTTGGCCTCTTTCTATTTTTTAATTTTTCAGCTTTCATTTTTATTATCCCTTCTTTCAACTAACTTCAGGATTATCACATTTAAGTGGAAATGCAGGTCACTGGCTTCCTCACCAAGGACTTAGAGTTCAATCTCTGGACCTTTAAAAAAAATGTCTTATGCTACAGTTTTTTTTTTTTTTTTTTTTTTTTTTCTGAAAGTCTGGGCCCTGTGCTGGCTAGTTTTTGTGTCAGTTTGACACAAACTAAAGTCATTTCAGAAAAGGGAAGCTTAATTGAGAAAATGACTCTAGAGTATTGACCCATAGGCAAGTCTGTAGGTTGTTTTCTTGATTGACAGTTGATGTGGGAGAGCCAAGCTGACTGTGGGCAGTGCCTTCCCTGGGCCAGGTTGTCCTGGTTGTTATAAGACAGCTAACTGAGCAAGCCATAGTAAGCAAGACAGTAAGCAGTGTTCCTCCATGGCTTCTGCTTCAGTTCCCGACTCCAGGTTCCTGTACTGCTGGAGTTCCTGCTCTGACTTCCCTCAGTGATTGACTGCTACCTGGATATGTACAATGAAATAAACCCTTTCTTCCCTAAGTCGCTTTTGGTCATGATGTTTTTATCACAGCAATAGAAATTATAACAAAGACAGGCCCTCCACTGCCTGTACTTCTGGAGCAGGCCAACACCAGGTGACCATGCAGTCTTGCTAGTTAGTTTCTCTTTTATTTTTAGAGCGAAACTAAAAATGCCATTGTCAGGTCAGCGCATACCCTGGGCACACATCATGAGCACGCATACCTTGGGAACTTGCATTCCAGGTGCAAACACCCTGATTATACGTACATCCTAGTACACACATCACAGGCACACGCATCCTGGGCAGACACACACACTTCAGATGAAGACATCCTGGGTACACATGTCTGAGGTACACATGCATTCTGGGAAGACTTCATCCGGTGCACCGGTTCTAGGTACACGCGTAGCAGGCACACTCACACCCAGAGACACACGCCCTGGACATATGGACATCCCAAGCACACTCGCATCCAAGAATAGCCCCACTCCTGGAACATGCACACTCTGAATAGCCACACATCCCAGGCACAGACACCCCAGACACCGGCACCCGGGACACACTTTTACTCAATCCATCTTGCATCTGTTTGGGGGAGGCAGGCTGAGGGTGACCTGCAGACATCAACCACATGTGCAGTGAACTTCAGATTCCTGGCTGCTTCATACCTAGGATCCAAGAGGAGCCTTTGCTAAAGCCCAGATTCTATCCAGTCACCAGAATAGAGTGGGTATTTGAGCCATGCAAGACTAAACTACGTGGCAACTTAAGTGTCCATGAGGGAGAGGACAGAAAGGTGTAGCCTTATGAATCATGCTCTTCAAACATACAGCAGTTCGTCAGCCTTGTTCCCTTCTTCCCATTAGGGTGACAGGTGCCAACTCTGAGAGGTGGTCCACCTCACCATATCTAGTATGGATTCCACAAACCCTTCTGTACCCTCCTTGATCTTCCGGAATCTCCAGGCCTTGGTCTACTGAGCTTCCACTGTGTCCTGGCACCCAGGCCCTCTGTCCTCCAATAGCATCTAACTGAGGTAGTCTCATCTACCCAAGCGCCCTCAAGCCCCTTAGGTCTGCAGAGTTGAAAAGCAACGTCAGAGATTACTGTGTGCTCTCCAGTGTACTCTGTCGGCTTCCTGAGCCACAACCATGATAAGAGATGATACTGAAGTCATCAGTCCCACAGCTCAGTGCCCTGCTCCTTCTGTCCATGCAACACCATCTTAGTAAATGGGCGCTTTACTAAGGATGGGTAAAAAAACAGGCAACAGTTCAGCAATTTCTAATGTCTCCCAAATGTCCTTTAGGAGAGTTTTTAATGTCCAGAATAGAGTCATCTCTGAGTCTTGAACATGGCTATAGAGCTTCTCTGTCTTCCTAATGGAGTGTGACAACTGCCACTCTGCACTTGGCTGTAGCATTTCTGAGATGTCAGATAGCCCGTGGCCTGTCAGGTTGGCCAGGAAGTTTCAGCAAGAGCATGATCCAAGTGTCAGCACAACCGGCTGCCATTAGGGTGTAGTACCTGCAGGGGCACAGCTGCAGACAGTGCTAAATCTCTACATCTGCCGTTCTCCCTGAGCTTGCCCACCTACGTCCCATGAAGGAGGGCCTTTCTTCCTGCTCCCTACCTTCCATCTTGCTTCCTTTCTCTTGGATCTGTCTTTCAGTAGTGTGGAATAATGTGTGTGAGACCTATGGCTGTCCTAAACAGAGCTACTCAAGATGTCTTAAGTGAGAGATGATGTTTTTCTCTTAGTTCTGACATAGCAATTTGAAATGAAGGTGACACGGGGCCACGATCTTCTGAAAGGCACCGGGGCGGGGGGGGGGGGGGGGGGGGGGTTTGGGGGGGGGGGAGGATGTACTTTGTCACCTGGTCCTTGGCATAGGGATGCAGTCTTCTCCCTGTGCTTGCCCATCTTCTGCCCTGGCAATTCAGTCTGCTGTGTTTCTCATAAAAACATTTAGTATTTGTGTGTGTGTGTGGGCCTGAGTGTGTGCATGTGCATGCTCGAGTGAGTGAGAGAGAGAGAGAGACGTGCACCATAGCATGTGTGTGGAGTTCAGAGGACAACTTTCAGAAGTCAGTTCTCTCCTTCTACCACAGGAGCCAGGTTGTCAGGCTCACACAGCTCTTTCAGCAGCTGAGTCACCTAATCACATTGTTGGTCTACAGGTCCCATCTTTCTGAGGTCTGTAATCGCAGTGGATCAAGTGGATCAATTGGTCCCAACGGCCTCATTTCCTTGGTTTGTGAGGACTCCATTTTGCAAGTGAGGTCTGCCAGTTTTGGTGCTGGGACATGGATACGTCTAGGAGATGTGCACTGCTTGCTTCTTTTTATTTCCAACTTGGCCCCTGCTTGGCCCTGGATCTTCTCAGGTGATTCTGTGTTCTGTGCAGTGGAGCTGAGTTCTATCTGCCCCATTCCTGCTTGCACAGGAATGCCTGACCTCCGTTTCTTCCTAGAGCCATGCCACAGGCATTCAGTAGCTCAGTCGCCAGCTAGTATCCAGAGACGCTGCAGCTCCTGCAGCTTCCTGGGCCTTTCAGGTCTGGAATCCTTTTACTAGCCTGTCCCAAGTCTGGCCACACTGGCAGTCTGTTCAAGCCACAGCACTTAGTACTAGCTTGTAGCCACTAGAGGGCACCAGCGTCACTTGGCACCTGCTAGGCACTCTGAAGGGCTGGAAAGCGAGGGTCTGGGCTAGGAGAGCAAGGACTTTCTGTGGAGGAGACCTGAGGGAACCCTGAGACCACAGAAAAGCCTGAAGATCCTCCTTGTGGTTCAGAAGAGAAAAGGGCCTGCAATACTGGTGGCTTGTGAGGATCTTGTCACCTTGTGAGGACTTCCACCCTGCTGTCAAGGGAACAGAGACACAGCTTAGCCAACAGGGCCCACTGTGCAATAGCAAACCTTTAATCATAACCTTTAATCTCTTTTAGAGTCCTGGCACTTAGGTTGTGCCAAGGCAATGTGAACTAGGAGTTGTGTGTGGGGGGAGTATAAAGCAGGGTGTCGTAGGCTGCTGTTGTAGCTCATCCACAGAATTTGCCCTGGAGGGATCATGAGCCCAGGCAGTACCAGAATGTTGGCTTCTCCTGGGCCACCCCTCTTCCTGCGGAAACAGGACGAGGGAGAGGTCACTAGTTCGAGGAGGCTGAGGAGGGTGGTGTCCTGAGCTGGCGCCCTTCCTTTGTTTGTTTACTAAACACAGATTGTTGCTAGGTAATGTTCCAGCCAGCTGCGGTTCTCATAGGCTTTCACATGGAAACTTCCAGAGGGAGTTGGAGGGAGGCCTCCATGGAGGATGCCTCACCCTGCTTCTTTCACATTTAGCTATCCACTGAGACAGGGCTCTAGTGAAGGCAGGGGCAGATCCTGAAGAAGTTTCTTTTCAGCCCTTGGGAATGTCACTTTGGTGTGTGGCAGGGAGTGGCCAGCCATGCCATTTGGGACAAAATATAGTTTAGGAAGGTCGTCAGCCTGATTCCTGTGAGTGACAGGGGTATCCTTGAGTGGCACCCAGTTTGCTGGTGAAGTGTGACTGGACAATCTTCACACAGGAGAATGTGATAAAAGATGTGCTCCATGTCATAGAGGGACAGATGAAGCCTATCTGAGATCTGAGCCCCATTTAACCTGAGCCCTTAGGTGCCAGATATATGTTTTTAGCGTGGCCTCCTGGCAGGAACTGGTTGTCCTTTAGGGTCTGTGTGGCAGGTCCAGGTTCAAGGAAACCTGGCTCAGTTGCACCCTGTGAACTACTTTGCAGCCAAAGTCTCCTTGTGATCAGCCTGTGTCCCAAGAGTCCCCAACAGTAGAGCTTACGTATGTGTAGAGTATAGATGCTGCTGGCTTAGAGGAGAGGTCAGGATAGCACAAGGTGTGGTCACAAAGGGCCTGAGCAGTTTTCCTCAGCATTACCTCATTGGTTCCTCAAAGGGCCTCTTGAGCTTCCTACCTGCCTACTGGTTTCCATCAGACCAGGTCTATCCAAGAGTTACAGGAAGTATCAGCATTGAGGCAGTGTAAGACTTCCCATGTCCTCAGCCCTCAGGCACCAACGTCCTGGGCTCTCAACACACTCCTCACTGCGAATCATCAGAAGGGAAGCACATTAGCCCTCAGATCAGCTTCAAGGAGTGGGAGCAGCTGCTGGACCATGCTCTCAGTCCTAATAATATCAACAGCTGAGAGTGACCCTGTGCCCAGCTCCACGGGCTTCTACTATAACTGCAATCTGTTCTGCAATAAACCAGGTGTTGCCAGCCCCTTCTGTCACACAATTGCCCAGCTCTGCACCAGCTTCTACTCTGGTCCTCCTGAAATCTTTGTCTTCCTCACAGTCACTTCTCTATTCACCGAACCTGCTTCTCAGTCCTGTGTCCATGCCCAGAACCCTGGACACTGTCCAGCTTATGCAGGAAGATGGGGGTGAGCATCAGGACCTGCATCAGGGTTTGGATCAGAATACAGGTCTCTCTCAGACTTGTCCTACATCATTGATTCTTTTGGGAACTTCATTAGGGCTCCCTCAACACCTATTGTGCACAAAACCCAACCCTAGCATACAGGGTGGTGTTGGGACTCAGCACGGCAAGCCAGGCCAATAACCCTGAACCTTTAGAAGGGCTGGAGAAGGGGCTTCTTGATGAGCTAACCATTTGTGTCCTTTTAAAATCCATGCAGAGCCTCTTGTACATGCCCATGGCCTTTGTTTTGCCTGGACACAAAGTAGCCTGTCTGCTGGCACAATCTTAGGCTGTGGTGTACAGGCCCCTGTTGGCTCCCTCTAGAGATTTCATAAATTCTGGCCCACCTAGCCGAGAGGCAGGGCCAGAGATGGGAGCCCCTGGGATCAGCACCTCCCTTTGTATATTATCCTAGGGACAGGAGGAAGAATGGAGGAAACAAAACCTTTCCTCTCGTGGTCATGTATGCTTAGATGGACAAAGCCCAACGGTTCCTGAGAGTCCAGTGGCCCCTGAAGCTCTAACTCAAGCTGAGGCTGGGGAGCACCCTCCAACTGCTGCCTAGTCTTCATGTTTCTGGTGGACATAGCTTTATCCTGCATTGTGACCCACAGTAACTCTATTGCCAATGGAACCCACACATCTTGCATGGCCTGGCCTGGTCTGGCTTGGTCCCACTTTTATATCCATGGCTTTTCCCCATCTGGAAAACACCCACTACCAGGTGACCCACTTTGAGCCCCTGAAGCTATCATTCCAAGATATAAAGTACTCTTTTCCATAGCTTTTCCTTGTCCTGGCCGCATAGGTATTTCAGGGCATGTGCACACAGTAGCCAGTAGTTACTGGGTTGGCTGTGACTCCAAAGGGAGTATCTTTAAGGGACCTGCCCTCAGCTGCTACAGACACCAATGACTAGGAGCCCAGGGTCTTCCCTTAGTCCCCAACGCCATCTGTCCTGCTGGGAGACACCTTGCACCATGTCAGCCAGGCCCAGGGCTGTGTATTCCTTGACAGCCAAGGTGATGGGTGGGGTGTTCATATTCCACCTCTTCGTGCACTTGGTCGCAATTACCATCGATCCAGCTGACACCAATGTCCGACTCAAAAAGGACTACTCGGAGCCTGTGCCGACCTTCGACCGGTCCAAACACGCACATGTGATTCAGAACCAGTATTGCCACCTGTGTGAGGTTACTGTGTGAGTGGAGTAGGAGTTTGGGTATAGGGTACTGCTTGACCCATGGCCCTACAGTTGCCTAGCTGAGTCTGCTGTTACTGGGCACTTGCCCTTCATGACACTCCATGGGAGGCTCAGTCCTGTGCTCACAGCCTCCTCGCAGGCCACACTGTACATACTGCCCTGCCCTGTAAGCTGACAGTCCTGCCTTCTGGTTCCCAACACCTCTCTCCTTCGGTGTGATGAGCTCTAGTCTGAGGTCCAGCTGTGTCAGTCTCAGGTCCTCTTGTACACACAGGCCCTTCTTTGTGGTGGTGGTTGTGGTGGTGGTGGGAGGTTGGCAAGTGTACCACTTCTTTGTGGTTTTTCTGTTAAACTTCACATCCCCAACTGGGGAGGAGGGAAGGCAAGTTTAGCTGATGCCTGGTGGGGTCCAAGGTCTCCAGGACCTGAGGAGGGCAGCACACTGACTTGGCTACAGGAAAGCACTGTAAGCACTAGGTGAACTACCAGCCTTTGACTCCTATATAGAACTTTCAGGCTCCCATCTAACAAACAAGCCTACCCAGGGAAGTTCAAGGTTCACCTTCCAAGAACAATGCCCATGGGCACAGGTGGCCTTGTCTTTCCCACAGACATGCAGTCCCCCACTGATTGCAGATGAAGGCCCCACCCTCCATTTCTTGGTAGACACTCAGTTCCCATGGTGCGTTTGGGGCCAACAGGCTGTTTCTATCAATTTTTCTTCCAGGAGCAAGAAAGCCAAACATTGCAGCTCCTGCAACAAATGTGTCTCTGGCTTTGACCACCACTGCAAATGGCTGAACAACTGTGTGGGCAGCAGAAACTACCGGTGAGGCATTCTTGGGGTCAAGGCTGTAACTAGGGGAGGGATCTGGTACCTGGAATTTGTAGTAGGCGGCAGGTGGCAGAGTGGAGAAGGCCATAGACTCTCAGGAACAGCACAGGGAAAGGGTGACCTCTGAGCCGTAGTTCTGTTTCTAGCTACGGCGGAGCTTCAGGCACTTGTGCTTCTGGTTCTGAGAAGTGTTTGGTGGGGCTGTTCCTAAACATGTGGGTCAAGTTCACACTCATGAAGCCCATCATGATCAGTGGGTCAATCAAAGCCCAGCTGAGCCTCCCAAATTTACTGTTTCAGACATACCTACCTTCTCAATGTCACGGTCACCAACCCAAGAGCAGTTGCTAGACCCTTGAACACAGGAGTGAGCACCTAGGCCATCCTAGGTGACATGACATTTTCCTGGTCATGAGTGCAGAATTCAGAGAGCTGTTGGGCACCAGGTCAGGGTGTAGGTCAGTGACCCTTCCTATTGCTTACAAAACCTTTAATACAGTTCCTTATGTTTTTGTGACCCCCCACTATAAATTAATTCTGTTGCTACTTCATAACTGTAATTTTTCTCATGTTATGAATTATAATGTAAGTATTTTTGTTGATAAAGGTTTTCCAAAAGGGTTTTGGCCTTTGTATGCCAAAACTGGAATCAGAGGAAGAGCAGAGGGTGAGAGGTACCACCCATTCTCACTAGATAGCACTGATTCTTAGCATCTTCGCTTTTCTTCCCCTCATTCTCCAGGTCCCCCCCCCAAAAAAAAAACATAAGAACATTTTTTAAAATTTTTTATTTCTATCCCATGTATATGGATGTTTTGCTTGCATGTATGTCTGGGCACCTCTTGCCCTCAGAGACCAGAAGATGTCATCATATCCTCCTGGAACTGAAGTTACAGACAATTGTGAGCCACCATGTATGTGCTAGAAACTGAACCTTAGTCTTCTGAAAGAATAGTCAGTGCTCTTAACCGCTGAGCCATCTCTCTGGCCCCTCAATGATATTTTTATATATTTTGACCCCAGAGTTGAACAGATGCCCTGAAAGAGATCCCCATGTGTTACAGTCCTAATAAATAGGAAGCCACTTGAATCTTGCAGAATGGGGTACGATGAAGGCTAAAGGAGCTCATCCCAGTGCATGGGAAGACAGTGAAGGAAGGTGGAGGAGGAGAAAGGAGGAGGAAGAAAAAGGAGGGAGGAAGAGAAGAAGGAGGAAGGAAGAAAGGGAGGAGGAGGGGAGGAGGAAGAAGGAGGAGGAGGACAAGAAGGAGAAAGAGAAAAAGAAGGAGAAAGGAGAATGAGAAGGAGAAGAAGGAGAAAAGGAGAACAGCTGTGATTCCTGAGCAGCCATGATTAGAGCATGCTTATTGAAAGATGTTCTGTCTGCCTAGGTGTTAGTCTGCCATCTTGGGGATTAATTTTTCCCATTGGATGGGAATGGCATTCTTGTCCATATTGCAGGATAGAAGGACATGGGGGCCCAGGTAGAAGGCTGTGGGGAATGTGGAGTGTGATCAATGCAAGCAGGAGCCAGCATCTGCCTGGCTCTGTTACACAGAGAAACTCTTGTCTAGAAAAAGACAAAAGAAAAAAATCTCTAAAGATCAAAGGCAGGGTGTGATTATATATTTAAAAACAACAGGCGTTTATTCAGCCCTGCTCCATTGCATATATCTATCTGTATGTACCCCTTGTAGCACTGACGCAGGCACTCTCTTCCTGGTGTGGAATTTGTTAAAAGGTTTCTGCATCGATATTAAGTAGCCCAAACAAAGTCAAGGTGAAAAGTGTCACAGCTTAGCTTACAACCCAAATGTGTCTCCAAAGCCCACATGAAGGAAGCAGGCATTTGCTGGAGCCCTAGGTATCACCAACAGTGTATACACTCTTCCCAGGAGGAGCTGGTTGACATAGAAAGTGTGGTGCTTAGTGTTTTGTCAACTGGACGCAAGCTAGATTTGTCTGGGGAGAGGGAACCTTGATTGAGAAAATGCCTCCATCAGACCAGACTACAGGCAAGTCTGTGAAGAATTTTCTTGATGACAGAGCGATACCTCATCTCTGTAGTGTGGGGTGGTCCTGGGAGTCTAACGTTGAGTAAGCTATGGAGAGCCAACCAGTAAGCAGAGCTCCTCCCTTGTCTCTGCTTCGGTTCCTGCCTCCAGGCTCCTACCTTGAGTTCTGTCCTTACTCCCCTCCGTGATGACATGGTAGAAAGAACACAAGAAGAAAGGGTCAGGAAGACACCAGTAGACTTTGGGCTCTGCTTTCATATTACCTACACCAAACTTGTGTGTTGATCTTACGTGCTTGGCTGGGTGTAAGTCTGTCCTGACCCCCCACTTGCTCCTCTCATGCAGGTTCTTCTTCTGCTCTGTTGCCTCAGCTGCAGTTGGGCTTCTTGGTGTGATGGTTATCTTGTTGTATGTCTTGATCCAGTACTCTATCAACCCCAAGGAGCTTCACACCGACCCCCTGTATAAAGGTACCCTTCTGATGCTCAGGGACTGCTTCTGCCTGTTTCCCATGTGCGAAGCATTAGGCTTCCCAGCCTCATCTCCTCCCATCTATGTTCCCTCACTCTTTAGTTGACCTGAGATCCTCTGAGGCCTAACATCCAGGGATTAGAGTGAGGTATACCCTGACCCTTGAGTCAGTCTTGAGCACCTAGACAGCGGACTTTTTAGCAGTGCTGGATGGAGAAGGCAGAAGCTTATGTTGTAGGAGATAATTACTTGTAAAGAAGAGCAGCAGAGGGTGGGATGATTAAGCTGAGCCATATACTCTGAGGGGAAGCTCAAAGTTCCTATGATTAAATAGGTCCAGAAGCCCAAGCCCATGACGTAAATGTCTGAAATAAGCAAGAGGGAAAGGAATTGGTCTGAACATGGCCCCAGAGATGTGTCCAAACCCTGACCCAGTCATGAGATAGCACATTATTTGAAAAAAGAGTCTCTGTGGATATGATTATGAATTCTGAGCTAAGGAGCCCATCCTAGCCTCCCCATGTGCCCAAATACAATGCCAATGTCTTCAGGAGGAAATGCAGACTTGCAATAGACCTGTGGAGGTAGGATCTAGAGGCTGGGCAATGTGACTACCAGCCCAGGAGGGTATGTGGCACTCATAACAGGAAGAAGATAGAAGGGCTATCTCCTGGAACCTCAGAGAGAGGATGCTCTGATTTCCTGCTTGTGGCTTACAGATACGAGAGAATTATTTACTGTCTAAGAGCCACCAGCTTATGGTCATTTGCTACAATACAGACCCAAGATACTAATGCAGGTGACTGATGAGATGTTCCTTTGCTGATTATCCTATGGATCAGAGGGAAGCCACCCCATCTCTGCTCCAAGCATCATAGGCATCTGTCCAAGCCTTGCAACAGCAGAGGTTAGGACCTGTATGTCACTTGTCTTGGGGCATCCCTGGAGCCAACATGAAAGAATGTTTTTTAAGAAAAAGCTTTGTGAGTTCCGTGTGGAATGACCTCAACTTTTGCACCATCTGAAACCACTTAGGACTTCTTGGTACTACTCATGAGCACTCTCTGAAAACCACCATGATGTCCTCTCCATTAGTAATGTTACATTTAACTAAACAATTGATGTGTTGAGCAAGCAGAGAACGGGAAAAGGAAAGCAAAAGGGAAGAGGAAAGTTTGGAGTGGTGACCTGAGTGGGGCCACTAACCATGACATTAGATGTGGTGTAGGGAAGCAGATCAAGTCTCTCCTGGGAGCAGACTGGTGGTTCTTTGAGTGTTGGGTCGAGGTCAACTCCAGGCTCGCCATTCCAAAACCCTACAGACTCCACAGCCTGAGCTCAGTATCTCATGGGCTGGAGTTCATCTTGCCATCACTGAGTAAGGGACATTTGTGTGTTGGCATCCCATGGCCCAGCCCACAAGGCAGCATGTAGTACCCCCTTTTCAGATAGCACACATAGGAGTCCATTCTAGAAAGAGCTTAGCACCATTCTAGAATGTGATATGGGTCCAGATGCTTGGGTTTCACTGTCCTACCTGCCACACAGCCTGGGAAACCCCTTATCCACAGTCTTGATTTTGAGGTCCATGGTGGACAGTGCTCAAGAAATGTACAAAGAGGGCTTGGTCTTCATTGTCTATCCGGTGATTGATGTGAAACAAAAGATCGAGGCCCCAGGGAAGGGCAGGAGATACTGGCTCTGCATTCCAGTATTCAGGAACTTCTTTCTGTCCATCATCTTAAATACATGAAGTAGGGATCATAGGGATAGACACAGCTAGTGTGCCCACAGGGACCCACAGGAGATCAGGGCAAATGTAGGGCAAAAGCACACCCCTTGGCTGGCTGTCCTCACTCACCCTAGCAAGCACTGTCCTTCTGCTTACCTGACTACAGGTGCTACAGTTTGGACAGGTGCTGGACGGACATGTCTCTCTGTATTCATAGAGATCAGCTCTGAGAACATATGGCTGCTGTTCCTCCCACTGTGCCCTGTGCCTGTGAAGACCCCCGTGGTCCTTTCCATCGTGGTGTTGGTACTGCTGCTAGCCATTGCCAGCTTTGTGCTGCTCGGGCACCTGCTCATCTTCCACTTGTACCTGAGTATGTACCCACTCTAGTCCTGCCACTTTCCTTCACCTGTCTTGAGGCAGACGGTGCCTTGGGAAGCCTTGCCAGAAATGAGTTCATAGGAAAAGGACAGACTTCGGGAAGGAGATACCGAAAGTAGGCCAGCGAGTTCAGCAAGAAACTGAACATGAATCATGTTGAGAAGCCTGCAGAAAGCACAGGAGAGAGCTACAGGAATATGGCTACTATGCAAGAATAGGACAGTAGGGGAGGAGGATTTAACAAAGCAAAAAGTAGAAATTATAAGGTCAAGGGACTGGTTTCCCTCATCCAAATAGAGTCAAAGAGGAGACATGGTATCCACAAATATGTATCAGACACCTGATTATGCTACTAAGATCAGCTGCCTAAGAGTGCTGAGTTAGAGCCACCTCTTCTGAACATGTGGTTTCTGCTGTGAGGAACTGGCCACGAAACTTCTTTGGTCTCTGGAAGTGGAGGCGTGGCTGGAGGGCAGCAGGGCCACTCCTCCAGTGCCAGTTTCCTGAAGCTTGACTTATCCAAACCTCGAGGGTGGCACAGAGCCTGCCCGTGGCTGTGATGATGGTAGCCGACAGAGTGCTGGCCTCCTTCAATGGAAAGACCTCACTTACAGCCGGTGGTCCTTACCAGCAGTGTAACTATAGACCTATGAGTGTGTTCATTAACACACACTCCTGACTTCACCATTGTGATTACTTGAGACTTAGATTCTTCTTCCTCCACCTCTCCTCCTCCTAGGATAGTGAAGACCCTGGATTAAATCTTGTTGGTGCACTTTGAAGTTATGTTTTTTAGGTTTTAGATAGGAAGGAACTGGCTTGTTTCCGTTTACTTGTGTTTGATGGATTTGTGGAGTGAAAGAGGACCAAGCCTTGAACCGACTTCAGCTGAGCCTCTATGTTTAAACACAACACCATGTGCTTCTTTATCAGTAACAGGCTAGGAAGGCAGATCACATTCCCTGAGACTTAAACCTCAGAACGATGCATCCTTTTGAATTACTTTTAAATTTCCCTACTACTTTTATAAATAGGAATTTTAAAAAACCACATTATTTTCTCAGCTTATCTGGAATTTTTTCTCATGTCTAAATGCTTTCAGATTTATCAGTAATGCCATATTTGCTAGCACTTGACCTCATGTAGGACTCCTTTCCTTCATTATCTAGATGCCAGGCACCATGGTCTGCTTTGTCCCGCCTGTGCCATGTTATGAGACACTCAGCAGCAAGGACCCAGCAGCTATCGTCTGTTCCTGTCTATACTCTTTCACATAGACGCTCTTAGGACTAGGCTCTGGGACTAAACTGAAGCTTCAGAGCTTAATACCTGCACCATTCTCACTTCTTCATCCAATACCCCCAGGAGGCCAGACAGTCGTTATCATGACTCTTAAAGACTCACTCAGAACTTTTGGGGGCCCTAGATATAGCATGCTTCATTTGTGCCAGGAGTGCTGTGTCATTGACCTTCAGAGTACCAAACCCCATAGAAGAGACACATGCTTCCTGAGGAATGCTGGTTCCAAGACCTAGTCAGAATGCTGGCTCCCAGTTCTTTCATCTCCTACACCAAGCCTGCCTTCTCAAACTAGCTTCAGAGACAAAGATACATCATAGCAGCTTTTGACAGGACCAGAAAGAGCAAGGAGGCCTCACATGACCCAAGGCAGACACGTGCCATGATGCACCGTAGCTGTCCATGATGTCTTTACCCGGCTCTACAAACATAGACCCCAGACTAAAAACTGCAAAAAACCAAGGGCTCTGTGCAGGCAGAACTCACAGATGGAGAGAAGGGTATGGTACAGAGGGCCCCGAATGACTCTCTACCACCTGGGCCCACATATGCTAGATGTACTTCTTGATAGCACTTCCCGGCTCCAAGGCTAAGAGCTGACCACCTACTAGCATTATGGACCCAAGATCCTTGATGCTAGAAATGACTTGTTCTCAGTACTCAGGGTAAACCAGGCTTCATAGGAAAGGGTTGTGATGTGGGTATCCCAGCAAGGGGAAGGTGTCAGAGGCCAGGAGAATATTGCTCAGCCCTCATGCTGAGAGTGATGTTCAAGTGCCCCCAACGAGCTGCTTTTTCCTTCCAGAACTAGGACTTGCTTTCATCTCTCTTCTCCAGAAATGTAACCAAGGTGTGTGATGGCCAAGCTAATCCCTCTGGTCAGCTACTCCAAAGCCAAAGGCCTGTGAATCGGCTGGAAATGTGTGTGGGGTGTGGCCACAGATCTAGATTTATGTTCTTGTAGCTGTGCATATGGGTTGCCTTTTTGCCCATGTGACACAGTATGCCTGCTCTCTCCCTTGCACGGTGGGTAGGGGATTCATAGTGAGCCATGGCACTGTATTTCCTGAAGAATGGCATGATTCTCTTTGTAGCCCTTGAGAGAAAATGGTGCTGAGAGGGACCTACTGTGGTCATGGGAGCATTGCCAGTTCAGGGCATCCTCTGTGGCCCAGGGACATGCACGGAATTGGTACCTGAATTACTCTTCAGCAGTGTGCAAGTGCACTATGGATGGTCCCGCATCTGCTGCTCCACACCTGGAGAGCAAGCCGGGGGTAGCTGCCACCATGCTGACTCACGACGCTCAGGCTGGGCTCCAGGGCTGAGAGCAGGACCACCTCCTACTCGAGTTACAGATAGGGCCATTGTGTGGCCCTGCAGTTTCTCAGAAATACTTGCAAACCACCTGCTCTCGCACGTGTTCGTTCTGAGAAGTTAGACCCCTTCCCCAGCAGCATGGGGCTGGAAGAGGCACCTGCAGCTCTTTTCTCAAAAACACATCTACTCTTGCTATCATCGCAAGGACCTAAATTGCTTCTGCTAGGTATGGTTGCCAAACTCCCAACCTGTCCTAGGGTTGCTTGCCATGTTCCTCATTTGTTGGTAGCCCTGTGTTCTCTGTGTAAGAGAATCTAGGGTGAGGTGGCTGCATGGGGTCGGGGGAAGCAGGCCTGGAGTGGATAGGTAGCAGACAGGGTCAGCTCAGGGACCCAGTATTCCTACAAGTAGGACTTCTATTGCCCCTAGGTAGATATTGCCCTGAAAATGATAGGCTCCTAGAACCCTTGGACAGAGTAGTTTTTCCTGAGCCTGGCCTCCTAGAGTCATCCCAGAAAGTTTTAGAGAAGTATGTTGTGATGCAGAAAGCAGGGTACCCAGGAGAGGTGCCACAGTATAACTCCTTCAGGACACCCCAGCTCTGTGCTAAATTAGCTTTTTTTTTTTTTTTTTTTTTTTTTTTTTTATCTTGGGCAACAGGGAACAGTCAGGTCCTGTCTCTCACCAAATGTGCAGAGCATTGCTTGTCTGGCCCAACATACCTGGTCCTCCTTCTGGTCTTGGGACATAGAAGGCAGGGCAGCCACTCCCTGGGAAGGTGGACTGCGCACGTGGGGGGCTGTGTGACATTCTGCACGGCTGCTGAGTGACCCTGCCCTCTCCTGCCCTCCCCTTTGCAGTCGCCAAGAACCTGAGCACATTTGACTACATGATGCAGACCCGATTCCAGAAGATTCCACATTCCTCAGAGAAGAAGGAGCTGCCTCTGCGGAAGAAAGCGAGCCTTCCTCAGGTGTGCCTGTCCCTCTGTGTCATGCCATGGAAGGGGGAACCATCGTGTGGCTGTACCCCACACAGGGGCTCCCAGCTTTGCACTGAGTTTCACCGTTGATACCGTCCTGGAACTCACTGGGAGTATGTGGTGTGTGCAGTGTCTGTGTACATATGGTACTTTGTGTGTATATCTGCATAGTGCCTAATGTGCATGTGCAAATGTGAATGTGTTCATGTACAGTGTTTCTGTGTGTTGTGATGTATGTGGTACATGGTGTGAGTGCAGTTTGGCTATGCTCATGCGCAATATGTATGTCTATGTATGGCATATAATGGATATATGTTTTGTGTGTAATATATGATATATGGTATGGTATATGATATGTCTTTGTGGCGTGTGATGTTTTTGTGCAGTGCGTAGTGTGTTTATGTGGCATGTAGTGCATTGTGTGGTATGTCTATATGTTGTATGTGGTGTGTGTCTATCTACATCTGTGTGGTCTGTTTGTATCTACAAGTTGTGTTTGTGTAGTGTGTGATGTGTATGGTATGGGGTATGCCTGTGCAGTGAGTGGGATGTGTGGTGAGTTTGTGTGATGTTTCTATGTGGTGTGTAGTGTCTGACTGTGGCGTATGGCATGTGTAGTGTGGTGTGAAGTGTGTTATGTGTTTGTGCGGTATGTCTGTGTGTAGATACTGTCTGTGGTGGAGTATCTCTGTGTCACCCAAACCCCAGGGCAGGCCTTATTATCAGGAGTAGTTAGCCAATACAAACCAGACTCCATGTTGTGTGTGTGTGTTTTATTTTGTTTTTGTTTTGTTTTTTAAGAAAGAGAAAAAACATTGTGGGTAATCTGGGAGAACTTGCGGGGAGAAAAGAATATGATTTTAAGTGTGTTGTATGAAATTCTCAATAAATAAATAAAAACAAGAAGTGGATAAAGAGAGGAAGGAGGAGGAAGAAAGAAGTTGCACACAAACTCAGATCACAGAGGAGGGAGTAATCCATTGAGAAACACCAGGATTAACTTGATACTAAAACCTGAAAACACCAGCATAAGAGAAGACTATAGTAAGATATTCAGGAAACACAAGCAAAACATATAAAACACTAGCAAGCCAACACATATAGTGAATGCATACATAGGATTGGTTGTACACCATGAATACGTGATGTCTATTCTAGAAATGCATTTGGTTGGCATCAGTAAATCAATTATTGTAATAAAATACTGATAAAATCAAGAACCTTATGATCATGTCAGCCCATTCAGAAAATGAATGTGGACTGTGCTAAAACCCTATTTCTGATTAAAAAGACAACACCCACAGCTCAAGAATAAAATGAAAACTATGAAGAACTCACTGGTCTGTCGCTTCATGACGAAAGACTGACCTTCCCTCCCCCCAGAGCTGGGAACAGGCAAGGACATTCACTCTCAGAACCTTTGACATCATACTACAGCTAATGCAATGACAGCTTAATCATACAGTGAACAACAAGAAAATGTTTATAGGCAACATAATCCTTGAAAATGTGTAAACTAGTAGCTTAACAGCTTTACAACAGCCTTGTACCAGTGGATGAAATTATGCCTTTCACGTCTGAAAGATAGCAAGGTTAACTAGGAAGACAGCTTTCCCGCTGGCCCTGAGCTGAATGTGCCCAAAGCTGAAAACCGTTTGGAGTTCTTCCTATTCTGACAGAAAATCCAGAGCCAACCACAGGCCTAAGTTTGAGAGTGAAATTATAAGACTTCTAGAGAAAACAAAATCTTCATGACCTTGGACTCAGAAATTTCCACCAATATAGCATATGATCAATGTCTAGATAATTGATATAATGGAATTTGTGAAATATAAAATTTTATTTTCAAAAATTGTCATTAAGAAAATAAAATACAAGCCATTGTCAAGGTGTTTCTAAAGCACATACTTGTACCATTAGTACAGCAGACTAATGAAATGGTCCTAAATCTTGTAAAAATCCTTTGCTAAGGAGCCTGTGGATGGTAAGGAAGCATATGGAAGATGGTAGACATCATTTGATAAGACCATTATAAGATACCCACATACCCACCAGGTAACCTCCACCAAAATGTCTGACAGTACCAGTGTTAGTGACAAGGCAGAGGGAGGGACCAGAAGGCTTGCCCCAAGGTGCAGAAGGTGAACTGGGAATATTCACCAGCTGTGAAAGCAGTAGGCAGCCCTTAGAAGGCTGCACAAATATTACCATCTGGCCAGCTGCCACCTCTCCAGCCATGGAGAAAGGAAAACACGTGTGCACACATAAATGGTTTTGAGGAAGAGTGCCGTCTGAGAAAGGGAAGTCCTTCCCAGCTGCTCTCTCTCAAACTGGAGATGGGCTCTAGCTGTGAAGAGCAGGCAGGAAGCCCACCATAAGTAGCTTCTCGTCTCTGATGTGGGTTTTCATTTGCTTTACAGGAAAAGAGTAACAACACAAGCTGGTCTCAGTCCTCACCCAGGTGAGTGCTAGTTTCCTGGTGACAGTTTATCTGAAAAACAGCTATAGCCTCTCCTTCGCTCAAAGGGCTTTAGAAAATAGTCCATCTGTACTATGATGTTTTAAATGATGGGATGACCTAGTATAAAGTACACTTGTTCCGCTTGGCTCACTGACATTCACAGATGTGGCTAACAACTGCGGAATTTCCTTCACAGCTGTGCTAGCATTAGTGAGCATAAAATAAGACTGCTTTGTGAGCATCTGTGCTCATGTGTATGTGTTTCCATGTGTATGGAGGCCAGAGATTGCTGTCTTCCTTGGATGACCCAAGTATCTCTGTTCCTCTCTTTCTCTCTTCTCCCCCCGCCCCTACCGGGTGCTTGCTGATCTAGTTAGGCTGGCAGGCAATGAACTCCAGGAATCTTCCCATCTCTGCTTCCGCAGTGCTGGGATTACAGGCATGTGCCGCCACATCCAGCTTTTTACATGGTGCGAGGGATGAAATTCATGCCCTCATGTTAGCAGAGCAAATGCTTTACCCCCGATCTGCTTAGCTTATACATCATTGTATAGCCATGTGGGAAGCTGTGTACCCGTCGATTTCTGACAGTGTTTGACTTAAATTATAAGATCAACAGTCAGATCTTGTCATTCAGTTCATTCTTGAGTCAAGGAGTATTGAGTATGAGTGCTTTGCCTGAGAGCAACATACAAGCCACCAGACCACAAGACAGAAACTGGCCACAACACAGAGGGGGGACACACATTTTATAGTGTACTCTGTTCTCATGAAAAAAAAAAAAAAAAGGTTTTGTATAGCCAAGAAAGATTGTAATAGAGACATGGTTACACAGTGAGTTCAAGACTAGCCTGGATTACAGAATGAGACCCTATCTCAAAAAGAAAAACAACAACAACAACAAAAATCCACCCTGTCATATATAGACCATCATAACTAGGATGGCCCAGTGGTTAATATCACTTACTGCTCTTGAAGAGGACCTGGGTTCTTAGCCTCCACACACATAGGTGGTTCACAGCCATCTGTAACTCTAGTCCCAGGAAGTCTAATGCTGCTTTCTGAGCTCCATAGGTATCAGCCACAGATGCTGTACACATACACACCTGTAAGCAGAACATTCATACACTTAAAATAAATCTTTTAAAAAATCATATAGAAAAAAGTCACTCCCACACAAGCCTGGAGCTTCGCCCTTACTGTCTTCAGCACATACCACAGATGCCCTTCACTAGACTATATAAGGATACAGTCTATTTTGGATAAAAGTCCCCGCCCTCCCACACTGTGACTACAGCACGGTGTTGTGTGAGCCATTGCTCCTAGTATATGTTCAGGCTGTGTCTGGGATTGACTTTACAAGCACTTCCATGAAGCATTACCTGTCAGGCAGAGGTAATGGAAGCTTGGAAGATGTCCGTTCTGAATCTCTCCATGTTTTTTTTTTCTCATTCTTCCCACAAAAGTAAGCAATTCATATTCTTTTCAGCTCCACTCTTCAGCTGTCAAAAGACAGAGTGCTGACCCATCTTTGCAGGTCTTTATCAGCTTTGACAGGACGCTAGTTCAGAAAGGCTTGATTACTGTTGTATAGTCATGTGGGCAGCTCTTGGCACCTGACTGGCCGATGCTCAGTTGAGTGGTCACATGTGTTCTTAGATTACACTTGTTCTTACAATACACACAGTTTGCTTTGGGCCAAACATTATCAGAGCAGGATAATGTTTGGAGCAGGTCCTCCAAACCCCTCTGTGTTGTGGCCAGTTTCTGTCTTGTGGTCTGGTGGCTTGTATGTTGCTCTCAGGCAAAGCACTCTTACTCAATACCTCCTTGACTCAAGAATGAATTGAATGACAAGATCTGACTGTTGATCTTATAATTTAAGTCAAACACTGTCAGAAATTGACAGGTACACAGCTTCCCACATGGCTATACATTATACAGACAAATGTATGCCAAACTTTATAAATACTAACAGTATCATTGTTACTTTTATCCAGATAAAATGTGTTGTACATATCATTTTACTAGCAATGAAGACATTGAGAATGACCTGTCATGCCTCTCACCGTATCTCTCAGGCTGGCCTCAAGCTTCTAAACTCAAGGGATCCCTGCATTTGCCACCTTAAAAGTGGGGTACAAGCCCATGTCACAGAGCCTGACTCAAGAACAAACATTTTTAAAATCAAAGATGGTCGGTTAGCCATTTTTTCCTTGGTTAACAGGAAAGGCACTTTTTCACTAATGAAGCAGTAGATAATTTTCAAAATGTGTTTATTGTGCCTTCTCATAATGCAGAAGCCATAACATTTTGGAAGCTACAAAATTTCCTTCTGTTTTGCTTTTTTAAAAAAAAAAAAACCATCCTCACCTAAGGCTGTAAAAACACTTTCTAGTACACTTTGCTAACACTTTCATAGTTTTGTTTAATTTTTTTACATTTTTGTTTTTAATTTATCTCAATATTTTATTTGATAATACAGGAGATAAGATTATCTTATCACTCCAAAATAGCTACTAGTTGCCACCTCATTACAAATATACATTTCCCAATACTCTAGTCTCTCACACACGGGCCCACAATTCAGCTTCTGCTGTTCATCTGTTCTCTGTGCTTTGTATCATAAGATTTCATTTTCCTGTTTTAATCTTTAGTGGACAAATGTCTCTCCTAACGCTTCTCTCTACTTTTGGCAATTCTTTCACACTTATTTCTTCCATGTAAGCTTTAAAATCACTTTGCTTTGTTGAAAAACATGAATTTTGGACTGGGGTTGCGTTAAATACTCCTTTTTCTTAAGGAGAAGCTAGCATTTATACAGAGAGAAATAGTGAAGACCCCAGTGGCCTTTGAAAAATAGCCTGGCACTCTGGCCCCTTCTTGTCCTCTGTGCCCAGGAAGTTTATAATCTTACAGAACTTTCTGCCCATCAGCCCATTTCTCCCTGCAGTTCAGAGTCAGAGGTACTCCTGGGTCTAAAAACATAGCTGAAGGTTCACACTTCATGCAAATACTGAGAGTTGCTTTAGGTTTTTCCATTCATTGGTCAGTGAGCATAGCTTGTTCTGGGGGAAAAATAATTTTCTTTTAAATAAGTATTTTGGTCTAAAGTGGCTTTCTTAGAAACTTGATTGGCAATGCTATTGTGTGACCAAACTATTGTGAATGTCAGTTTGAAATGTTGTCTAATTCTTCAAGCAGATTTCCAGAGTGTTCTCTTTTTCCTTCTTCCTGAAAGGCTGGCAGAATCTAACCATGACCAAGGCTATAGCACCACTCCAAACCCCAAATCATTTCACTCTGTTTCTGACTACAGAGTAGATCCACATTATAAAAAAATTTTGAAAATTGCAAAATTTTCTAAGTAAAACTAAAAGTCTTCTCACCCAAGCCTCCTCCCATCAGAGCCCATTGCTGGCATTTCCAAGGTCTTGTTGTTGTTGTTCTTTTTCATTGGCTAGTTACTCCTCTTAATCAAACTACAATCATACCTCTTGCTCTAAGAACCTACTTTTGAATTGCTGAGTAGTATTCTATTATGTAAATGTACCAAAATTTTTGTATCCATTCTTCAGTTGAGGGACATCTAGGTTGCTTCCAGATTCTGGCTATTATGAATAAAGGTGCTGTGAACATTGTTGAGCAAATGTCCTCGTTGTATGCTTGAGCATCTTTTGGATATATGCCCAGGAGTGGTATAGCTGGGTCTTGATGATAATAGTTAGCACTATTCCTAATTTTTCTGAGAAAGTGCCAGATTGATTTCCAAAGTGGTTGTACAAGTTTACATTCCCACCAGCAATGGAGGAGGGTTCCCCTTTCTCCACAACCTCTCCAGCAAGTGTTGTCACTTGAGTTTTTGATCTTAGCCATTCTGATGGGTGTAAAGTGGAATCTCAGGGTTGTTTTGATTTGCATTTCCCTGATGACTAAGGATGTTGAGCATGTTTTTGGTTCTCTGCCATTCCATATTCCTCTGTTGAGAATTCTCTGTTGAGCTCTGTACCCCGTATTTTAATTGAATTACTTGGTTTGTTGGTGTTTAACTTCTTGAGTTCTTTATATATTCTGTATATTAGCCCTCTGTCTCATGTACGGTTGGCGAAGATCTTTTCCCAGTCTGTAGGTTGTCATTTTGTTCTGATGGCAGTGTCCTTTGCTTTACAGAAGCTTTTCAGTTTCATGAGGTTCCATTTATTGATTGTTGATTTTAAAGCCTATACTGTTGGTGTTCTGTTCAGGAAATTGTCTCCTGTGCCAGTGAGATCAAGGCTCTTCCCCACTTTTTATTCTGACAGATTTAGTGTGACTTGTTTTATGTTGAGGTCTTTGATCCATTTGTACTTTACTTTTGTGCTGGGTGATAATAAAAATAAGAAAATCATGAAATTTGCAGATGGAAATAAAAAAGATCATCCTGAGTGAGGTATCCCAGAAGCAGAAAGACACACATGATATATACTCACTTATAAGTGGATATTAGCCATATAATATAGAATAAACATACTAAAACCTATAGCCTAAGGAAAGCTAAACAACAAGAAGGACCCTAGGGAAGAAGCTTAATCATCATTCAGAAGGACAAACAGGATAGACAATGGAAGCAGGAGAAGACAGGGAGCAGGTCAAGAGCCTTCCACAGGTGGCCTCTGAAAGACTCTACCCATTAGGGTATAGAAGCTGATGCTGAAACTCATAACCAAACTTTGGGAAAAGTACAGGGAATCTTATGGAAGGGGAGGATAGAAGGACCTGGAAGGGACAGGAGCTCCACAAGGAAACCAACAGAACCAAAAAATCTGGGCTCAGTGGGTCCTGCAGAGGCTGATGAATCAAGCAAGGACCATACATGGAGAGGACCTAGACCCCCCTGCTCAGATGTAGCCCATGGGCAGCTCATTCTCCATGTGGTTTCCTTAGTAAGGGGTGTAGGGGCTGTCTCTGTCATAGACTCAGTGGCCAACTCTTTGATCACTTCTCCCTCGCAAGGTGGCCTAACTACGCCATGGAGAAAGAGGATCCAGACAGTCTTGATGAGACCTGATAGGCTAGGGTCAGAGAGTAGGGGAGGAAGACCTCCCCTATCAATGGACTAGGAGAGGAACATAGTGGGGAAGAAGAAGAGAGGGTGGGAGTGGGAAGAGACAAGGGAGGGGGCTACAGCTGGGATACAAAGTGAATAAATTGTAATAATAATAATAATAAAATAAAGAAAAAATAAAAACAGCCTACTTTTTAATCTCCACATATTGTCAACATTGTTAAAGAAGAAGAACCATGTTTTGTGGATATAAATGACTTCATCTTTGGAGTTACATATGCCTCATTTCTGAAATATTATTTTCCTTTATAGTGTTCTTTTCCAGCATAGTAGTGAGTTTACCGTGTATTGGAAAGGTCAGTGTGTGCGCACATGACAAGACAGTGCACAGTCACCACTCTCAAAATACAGTGGTCAATGTAATACTACTTGCACTTTAGTGCCATGTCCAGCTTGGCTGCAGAGACTTTGGGCATGGTGAAGTGATGAAGAAAAGACAAGCACAGGTGGGCACACAGAAAGTCAGCCTCAGGTGTGTGGGCTCTCTTCTGGAACAACCACAGCACCCCAGAAGCTCAGTGTGTTTCTTACATAGAGTTGAACAAAAAGGCAGGGTTATTGCGTACAGCCAGCTAAGGAGACAGTATTACTATGTACAGGTAATAAAGGAGGCAGAGTTTATGATACATATCTGGATCAAGGGGACAGGCTTAGATAACATCAGTTGGCGCAGCCTCTGTGGGGTGGGTGGGCAGTCTTCAGGCCACAGACATCCAGGAGGGAGGAAGCTATAGTGGACATATTCTGCACACACTGTCCACATTTGTTCATATGCCCCCGAGGAACACTTTGACATGCCTCTGAACCTCACTCCAGCAAGAAGGCTTTGCCATTACACCACGGGTCTGAGGCTCTGGGGTCCTTGACATGGCTGGCTTGTTGTCAACACACACATTTACCCAGTAGTTGACACACTCAAGGCTTTCTTGGGTCCCTATATTTTCAGATACAGAAACTGTTTCTATGACAACCTAACAGTGTGGATGTAGATAATAAACAGACACTGGTCTGCTTTGGCACATCACAGCCCAAGTTCCGGAGACCATGGTTACTGTCTTAGCCCTATGTGACACTGCACCAGTCACAAACGCAAGGACGTGCCCATGGAGTACGGGCATCAATTACAGGGGTTGGTTAGTGGAGAATTCTGGTCCCTTCTTCAGAGAGTACTTTTTCTAAGTGTTTTAGACTATTTACTGGGAACATTTCCTCTGGCATCTGTATCTGTTGTGAAATATTCCATGAACTAGATGGATAAAGATAGGAAGAAAACAGGAACAAAGACTGGGATTTCACATAGGAAGAATGTTCTTGTCTGATTTTGAGGGGTTCCGGTCAGCTGCTGCCTGCCTTGTGGCTTGAATTGGTTTTCTGGACCTGCAGAAGACATTAACACAAAGTCATTGTCTCCACACACAGCTGGGCTCTCCAATGTCCCATTGCCTCTTGTCAGTCAACATTACCCAGAGGATTGAGGAAGAACCTGACTCAACGCACTCAGGAAGCTTCTGGAATTCACTTTCCCCAAGATTCCTGCGTTCACCCTCAACCCTGCAGGCAGCATAGCTAGCCCTGGAGTTCTCATATTTGAGTCTCTTTGAGTTTTTCTGCCTTCTACTTAATGTGATTACATCAGAGCTCCATGGATGTTCCAGGCCAGCTTCCTACGTTAGCTTTCTGGATCTGCTGCAAGAAATTCCCATGAGTTGGAGATGCTGGGGGGGTGCATGGTGTGACCTTTTATCCATTTGCAAAGACTGAAAATTACATTTGGCAAAGGAGGGGTCTGACACAGAGCTCAAACAGTGTGAAGATGTATCTTTCTGTGTATACACTGACTAGAAGTCAGGGTCTATCATATTAGAATCCAGTCACAGCTTCCCATTATGCAGTACACATGGCTACTGCCCCAGGATGCTGGTATCTGAGATTCTTCAGCTTCAACTGTGGGGTCTTTCCCAAGCTGATGTGTCTGTCTTTCCTCTTTAGAGTGGAGTCCCAGAAGTTCCTGCTGTCTACTCTTCCACAGCAGTCAAATGCGTGTTTCCTGGCTACAGATCCAAAGACTCCTCCACAGTAAAGGTGAATACAGAAAGTTGACTGGGTTTCTAGGACAAGGCTTAAATTGCATCTAGGTCCACACTGCCCCCAATCTAAGGAAAGCAATGCACTTAACTCTTCTTTGACTGATATTAAGGTTTATAGTTGTGGAATGGTACTCAGATAGGAACAAAAGTAAAAAACAAGGAAAACTGAGGGACAGAAAAATCTTAACAATGAGAGACAGGAGGGGGGTGTGGAAAATGAAGCACAGAAATGAAACTACTAAAATTGAAGCAATAGTTGTACATGTTAGTGAAGCACACTGAAGCCTACAATTTTAACATACACCAAGAAATAAGATTTGTAATTAAGTGACTACAAATGATGAAGAGACCAATAATGTTCCCTGTTGTAACAGTGCCACTTAGAAGGTTTTGGTTTTGCTATGGTACAAAAGTCATACTAGAAAGCATACTGCTAGTTTAGAATTTTAATCTTTTCCTGGGCTAGTGACAAGGATGAGCCTCTCTCAGGATGGACGGTATCAAGCCGTCGGCCCAAGATCATGAGGAGACGTCTCTACTCTGCCGTACATGATGCTGCTGAGCCGTGGCCTTCAGAAGAGCATGTGTAGCATGTGTATTCTGGACTTAAGATGTTCTCAATTTGTGATGAGTTTCTCAGAATGCAAACCCCACTGTCTTTCAAGAATCATCTATGTAGAAAAATGTTAGCAATGATAGAATCTAGGTGTTAAGTACGTATGCATTTTCACTTTCAAATTTTCTAGATGTTTGAAGATTTTCACAATAAAATGTTGAGGTATGACTTGGTAAAAAATAAACATGGCAAAAGTTTTATGTTTCTCTGTGTTATGTTGTATGCCAGGGTGCAATGTATGTGCAGTTATTTTGTGTGATATGTGGTAGGCGGTACCTACAGTCTCTGCTGTATCTGTGCAGTATGTGGAGTGTGGTGTGTGACACATCTGTGATGTGTTTGTGTGGCATGTCTGGAGTGAGCTAAGTGATGTCTGCTGTGTGATATGTGTGCTGGGTATGTCTGAGGTATGTGGTCCATCTATGCGGCATGTGATATGCCTGTTGGAGTGTTATGTGCGATGTGTGGAATGTGCTGTGTGTGACTTTTTGTTGTGTGATGCATCTGTGAAGTGTGAGGTATTTCGTGTTGCATCTGTGTGGCGAGTGATATGCGTGGTATGTGGCATTTCTGTGGTGTGGCATGTAATGGTAAATGCATCTTCTGCTGTGTCTTTGCACTGTTTGATGTGTGTGGTGTCTCTGTGGTATATGATGTATATGATGTGTTGGTGTGTGTCTGTGTGGTGTGCGGTATATACATAGTGTATAGTGTGTGTGCGCACGTGTGTTGCAGCATCTCACTTCTTTCCTTGTGGAACAGGCCAAGAGAGTTGACTGGATCAGGCCCATTTGTGCTCATGCTCCACCTTGGAGCGCAGCTGCTGGTGGGCTTCTGGTGCTGAAGAGGTATTAATTTTGAAAATGTTGAAGGTTACTGGGGCTTCACTTTTGTGGGAAGAAATTCACTTTGCTCCAGTCTCTGATGGCTTTGGAGAGGGTGCTTCCTAACTTAAGAGGACTCCTCAGCTGTACGAAGTTACCCCGAGGCTGGAGCAAAGTCTTCATGGGGTCTTCCACGGTCACTGGGAAGGGCATGTATGTAGAGGACAAAAGGTTTCACTGGGGTGTGAGGAGTCTTCCTAACTCTGAGCTATACCTGAGCAGCACTTGCAGAGCTAATGTTCACAAGCATCTCCCTACTCATCTAGTTGGGTACCCGCTGAAACTGTCCCTTAAGGCCATAGTTCCAACCGGTTCTGCTGAGTGTGGCAACCAACTGCTGAGAAGCACCAGTACAAGTAGGCTCTGTGTGCCTCAGAGCATCAATAAACTTATTGCTTTTTCCTTGGAGTCTCTCAGGCCATTAGGAGAGATGAAATCCACCTAGGAAGGACATGCCTGGCCTGATAAGTTTACTCTGATGAAGCGCTTATTCTTGCATCCGGAGCAAGTCCAAAGTAGGATCAAATGTGACTAACCAAATTCTAATACACCCCCTTAGCCTGTTGAAATCTGACATGATCTCCCTGTTACCAGCTGCTCTTGGGCTCATCCACTGTGAGGACCCTATACCTTCTACTAATGGAGCCTCAGCTAGAACCAGACACTGGAAAGACCAATGTAGTGTTCTTCCCAAAGCACAGGTACAGCTGTGGTATCTCCAGCAGCAATGAAACCCAGAGCTGATGACCCTGCCTTTGGAGGACCTGTCAGAGCCCATCCGAAGATAGCTCAGAGTCTCATAGGGGGAATTTTGAGGAAGCAAATGACAAGACTGACTTAGCTCACCTAGCTCACTTGCATCCAGATAAGCTAACCCAGATATTCCTCTGCGTATTGATCCCCAGTCTCATCTGGGGTGTACATTGCCTGTGTTGTCACTATCTGCCTCTTGCTTGTCTGTTGTCAGGTATAATTCTGATAAATCATATGAAAGAAGCTCTCATTGCTGCCACTGTGGTGGTTAGGGCTAATTGATGAGACCTATTGTCTTAGGGTTTTATTGCTGTGAAGAGACACCATGACCATCACAACTCTCATAAAGAAAAATATTTAATTGTGACTGGCTGACAGTTCAGAGGTCCAGTTCATTATCATCATGGCAGAAAGCATGGCAGTGTGCAGGCAGACTACAGTGCTGGAGAAGGAGCTGAGTTCTACAGCTTGATCCTCAGGAAGTAGAAGACTGTGAGCCACACTGGGCATAGCATGAGCTTATATGAGACCTCAAAACCCACCTCCACAGTGACACACTTCCTCCAACAAGGCCACACCTACTCCAGCAAGACCACACCTCCCCGAAGGCCAAGTATTCAAACACATGAGTCAATGGGGGCCATCCCCATTCAAACCACCATACCTATCTACTTGGAAAAAGACCCAAGAGCTCACACTTTTCATTCCACCTGCTGTGGAACAAATTTTCATCTGCATTTAAAAACATGAGTGCCAAGTACAGACAGCAATATGCTAAGGTGGGCACAGTGATGTTAATGGATCCAGCCTCATAAATCTCTATCTAGTTCTAAATCTTTCCAAGTTAATATATGCTTTCTAACTGACCCATGTTGCATTTCCAGGCAACAAACACAAATGATTACTGCAGGTTCAATAAAATATGGAAAATCTTGTCTATAGTAGGAAGCCCAAGAGTGGATTTGAATTTTTCACCCAATGATAGTTCTGACTTAGTGACTTGACTTGTGAATTACACAAAACAAAAATTTAAGCAATAATACTTTATAACAGCCTTTTTCAGGAAACGGAAAAGAAAGAAAAAAACTCCAACTCATTCTGTTTCTGCCTGACACAAAGACTCTGCAATGTGGTCATTGAAAGTGCCCTAAGTCAATATTTTTAATAAAAATACCAATGAAAGGCTGTCTCCAGTGAATGCTACAAAGACAAATTCCTGAGAAGATGGTGAGTGTGGAAAAGCTTTCTCCAAGAGCCACACCTCAGCAGGGCTCACTGAATTCACACAGGGGAGAACCCGTGTGTGTGGTGAGCGTGGGGACTCTCACCTGTGTGAACATTAGGGGAGGGTCATGAATTGAGGGTTACGTATTTCCTGCTGCACTCCTTTCCCTGCACTCCTCAGCCTTCCCTTATGTGGTCAGTATCACAGACTGAGCTTTGTCAGTGTGTTGTAGACAGAGCGATACCATCACTTCCAGGTCATTCTCCATAAACGTCCCTCACTTCAGTCCATATCCAGGGAGACTGAGGATGGCTCTGGAAATCATTAGTAGAGAAAGGTCACTGTGACTTAAGACAGAAGGAACTTTCCATCTTTAACCCATTGTGTTTTACAGAAATGGAAATGTCAATGCTATTTCCACCTCTAACTTGTTTATGCTTTACCTGAATAGAAAACTTCAAGACTGTTGAAAAACAAACAAATTAGGAGTATCTTGAGCCTTTATAGCACCATAAATACACCATTACATTTCACAACTGATTAAAATTTATTCCAGAAATGTAGCATTGTCTTAAGATACTAAATAATTCTGAGGCATGGGGATCATTGATTTCAAGGTCAGTCTGGGCTCTTATCTAGAGAGAAGAGAGATGAAAGCAGTGGGAATTACAATAATCAGAGTATCTGATATTGCCAAAGAACAAACTCAATAATAGTCATTAAAAAACTATAATGAGATGTCATCTCACACCCATTAGGACGTTACATATTTAAAAAAATAATAAAGCTTAGAAATATATCAAATATTTGTGGCAATGTGGAGAAACTGGAAATCTTGTGCCTTTGACTTGCTCTCAATCATTTTGGCTACTATAGATTCCCATATGCACTTAGGATAGACCTCAGTTTTACCTTTAAAAAGCCTAAAGAGAATTCAATGGATTGTGGAAAGTCTACCATTTTAACAATACTTTGTGTTCTAATCCAGGAACTATAGATAGATGTCTCATTTCTCTAAGCAATGATTTTTAGATTCTGTACATGTTTTGTGCTAGTTTTGTTAAGTTCATTGTTTTCAATGGTACTGTGACTTGAATAATTTTTGTGATAATTTTTTTTAGTTTTTTACTTAGTATATACAAATGTAAATTAAGTTCTGCACACTAATTAATCTATAGCCTTGAATTATTTTATTATTATTATTATTATTTGATGTTTTTTGACACAGGCTTTCTCTTTGTAGCCATGGCTGTCCTGAGCTCACTCTGTAGATCAGGCTGGCCTCAAACTCAGAGATCCACCTGCTTCTGCCTCCTGAGTGTTGGAATTAAAGGGTTTTACCACTGCCGCCTGGTGCTTTATTATTAGTTTGTTAATATTTTTATGTCTTTTTGGCTGGGGTAAAGGATAGTTCTACTTTTTCATCTGTAAGTCTTCAGTTTATACTATTGTGGGAATGTAGCGAGGAAACTGTCACAGATTGCTCTGTCACAGGCTGATCAATTCCACTTATCTGCCTTTCTCAGCTGTTAAGATGGTTCTACAGAACTATTTGGGAAGGGAAATACAGGATATTTGTGGTTTATTGCTGCTATGGGGTGGAATTCATTCATGAGCATGTATTAGTGACATAATTTTTTATGAGCACGTGGATGTCACATAAGATGCCGATGAAGCAGCATGTGTCGGCAAGTCCGGGCATCTGAGCACAGGTGTTGGGGGCAGGACCCACACTATGAGGAAAGGACAGGAGCAATGGGAGCATGAATGCTCACAGTCAGGTGGCTGAGATGCTTCCGCTGGAGAAACTACAGGCAGAATTTCAGAAACACCTATTTATTAAAACCCTTCCTGACATCAGCAAGCCCGGCTGTTGCCCTGAAGCTGGAGGCCATAGTCACGGAGAGTGAAAGTAGAAGTTGGTCAGAGCCCCAGGTTCAGTTCGTATCTAATTCAGTTGCTCAAGGTCCCCAGCTGCTCCTGTTCACCCGGTTCTGGAGCTTCTGTGCTGGAGACTGGTGAGTACAGGCAATACTCATGGCCCTGGGTGT